TATTATGAATAATAATGGGTTATTGGTTAATAATAGCCCCCCACGTCTTTAGCTCCAACTATGTGTGGGGGCCACTGGGTTCAGCCTTTTACAAGCAACCTCTCCTTGAATCCCTAATGAGGAGGGGTGGAGACGTGCGCCCATCTCCCAGAGGAGAAGACTGAGACTCAAGGAGAGATGTCTGCAAGTTTACACGGCCCCTCCACTCAGGCAACGTTCTGCTACGGTTAAAAAGTTTTCAATAACTTAGCCCTCTGACCACCTATTGTTCCTTTCTAGGCCTGGGAGCCCTAGTGGCCTAACGGTTATGCATTGGGCTGCTACTTGCAAGGTCAGCAGTTCAAAACCACCAGCCCCTCCTGGGGTAAAAGATGAGGCCTTGTACTACTGCAGCGGTTCTCAACCTGTGGGTCGAGACCCCCTTGGGGGTGGAGATACCCTTTCACAGGGGTCGCCCGATTCATAACAGTAGCAAAATGACAGTGATGAAGTAGTAACGAAAATAATTTGATGGCTGGGTGGTCACCCCCACATGAGGAACTGTATGAAAGGGTGGATGCTTGAGGAAGGTTGAGAACCACTGAACTACTGTAAACAGTTACAGTCTCAGAAACCCACTGGGGCAGTTGTCCCCTGTCCTATAGGGTAGACTCGCCGGCAGTGAGTTTGCTAGCGGTTCCGTGTTGGGCTGCAATCTGAAAGGTTAGCAGTTTGAAACCAGCAGCCTCTTTGAGAGAAAGATGGGACTCCCCTAGTAAAAGGGTTACAGTCTCTGAAACCCAGGGGGATCGTTCTACGCCGGGCAGGGTCGCGGTGAGTCAGAATGGACACAATAGCAGGGGGTTTGGTTTGAGTCTGTCCTTAGTCTGTCAAGCTCTGCTGAAACCTGTCCACCCTGGGTGACCCTTCTGGTGTGTGAAAGACTGTCAGCTTCGAGGATCGCAGCAACACGCAGGCCACCGGAGAACCACGGGTTGACAGGGGCTGGCCATCTGGTGGCAGGAACATAGCGGCTGTGTTGGTAGCAAGGTGATCCATTCCCCAAACCCAGAGCACCCCCATTCCCCACAGTGATGTAGCTCCTGTGGGTCATGTCATTGCTGGTCACATAGGTGGGTTCGCTCGGGATCAGACAGCGGCTCAGAGAGTGAAAGTGGCATCTGGGGACGTCACCCAGCACTGGCCCCCGCTCCCTGTCCCCACAGCCTCTGTCTGTGCTGGGGTCCCCTGCAGGATCTTCACCTCTCTGAGCCGTGGAGGCCTCCTGTTGATACGTCCTAGGAGGGGTGTCTTCTGTGACTCGGTGGAGAACAGGTATGGAGTCTAAAATCAGACAGATTCAGATGTGAACGCTCCACCTGCCCTCTCCTGCCTGGGTGAGTGTCAATCACTCAGGCTCCCTCTCTGAACTTCAGCTGCCTCCTCTGTCAAGTAGATCTGTAGCCCTCTGCCATCTTCCTCCAATTATTGTGAGCACCCGAGCCAGCCTGCCCGCCAGCCAGAGGCCCCGCCGGCCCCAGCCACGTGGGAAAGTTTCAAGGTGGCACCCAGAGCTGGTCCAACCGGAAGATCCAGCGTCTTGGGAGGGAGTGAGATCCAGGGTGGGGATTCTCCTCTTGCTCAGGCCTGCCCAGATCCTGGGAGCTGACCCCAGCCTGGCTCAGGACCAGGAGGGGGTGTGGTGAGGGGGATACACCGTTTCCAATCCCTGTGGTTCCTCCAGTCCCTGCTGGCTTGGGGACCTGGAGTCACAGTGGATGACTGGGGGTCAGTGTGAAAGCAGCCCTGGCCTGGAGCTCAGGCTGGGGCCTCAGAGAACCCTGAGGCCAGATCCACGCTGGGTTTCCTGTGAAGGTCAGCAGTTAGAAACCCCGTGCCGCTCCACGGGAGAAAGATGAGGCTTTCTACTCCCATAAGGGTTAGGCCAAAGAAACCCACAGGGGCAGGTCTAGTTTGTCCTATTGTGTCGCTATGACTCACAATTGACTCAATGGCTGTGAATTGTTTGTTTGGGAGGCAGAGCAAGGGAGCACGGATGGTGGGTTAAGTGTTGGGCAGCTGCCCCAAAGGTTGGCATTTCCAAGCCACTAGCTGCTCCATCAGAGGCAGATGAGGCCCTCAGCTCCCCCCGGAAACTCTAGGGAGCAGTCCTGCCCCATCCTCTAGGGTCCGAGTGCGTGAGTCAGAATTGCCGCCCCGGCAGTGGGGAAGGCAGGGCAGGCTCAGGGATGTTCCCAACCCACGCCTCTGGGATGCGCTGTCTGGGACATGTCAGGGAATGGGGTGAGGTCAGGGGCAGGGCCGGCTAGGTACTTTGCAAAGTGAAAAGACCCATCCCTGGAAAGGGACACCCGGTTCTGCCAGGTGAGAGGGTCAGCGAAAACAGAGCAGCCCTGGGGAGACGGAGGGAGGGACAGACGGACGACACAGTGGGAGCCAGGATGGGCTCGCTCGCTGGCGGAACAATCGTGAAGATGACAAAGGAGAGGGCATGGTCTCGTTCCATGTGCAGGGGTGGCGGGGCTGGGGGGGGGGCTATGACAGGACAGCACCTCCATCTCCCTCCTTCTCCTCTTCCTCCTCCTCTTCCTCCCCTCCCTTGGTCTGTTTCTCTCCCTCTGTCCCGGAGTTCATTTACTAGTTTATGTGGATTTCCTCCAGCCACGCTAGACTCCTGGGCTGAAATATACTGACCTTCACAGTCCACGGATCGGTGGCTGGGTTCTCCTTCCTGCCAGCCGCCAGGCCCCACCCCACAATGCCACGGGGCTCCGGGGGCTGACCTGGATCCACCCCTGCTGGGAGAGGAGTGCTTTGCCCCCCAGGGCAGCAGCCTAAGAGCAGACTGAGGGAGGCTGTCCCAGAGAGGTGGAGAGGGGGCAGCAGATGGGGCTCCAAACCCTACCTGCCAGACAAAACACAAGCTCAAAGGTAAAGTGATCGGGACCACCATGGAACACTAAGGCTATTCTGAGCACGGGGTATGGTTGACTACACTGGTCACATGCCTGGTGAGGCTGGCCCACGCAGAGCCCCCCCCCCCTCCCCGCAGAAGGGCGGCCAGATGTCTCTCACCTGGAGACGCAGGCCAGGGGACATCTGGCACCCCAGAAAATCCAAACCAAACTCCCTGCCTTCTGGTTTATTCCAACTCACGGTGACTCTCGGAGAGAGTGGAACTGCTCCGGAGCAGTCTTTCCGGGAGCAGACAACCTCGTCTTTCTCCCAAGGAACGACTGGTGGATTTGACCCACGGACCTTTGGGTTAGCCACCTAATGCCTTTATGTGCATCCAGAACTTCACACTCACTGTCATGGAGACCATTCTGACTCATTGCCAGTCTATAGGATGGGGTAGAATTGCTCCTGTGGGTTCCCAAAACAGTAAACCTTTACCAGAGTAGAAAGCTTCATTTTTCTCCCGAGGAGCAGGCATTGGTTTCAAACTGCCAACCTGTGGTTAGCAGCCCAACGCGGACTCCACTCCACCACCAGGGCTCCTTACAGGTGCAGCTTGGAGGGTGCCAACCTGTGGTTAACAGCCCAACTTGTCCTTGTACCACCCGGGCCTGGGGATTGGGGTGTTTACCTCCCAGGGTTTAGGAGCACCCTTTCTGAACCTCAAGGGAGTCTGGCACCCAGGGGGTGATGGGACACCTGGATCCTGGGATGAGAGAGGGACTGAGTGTCTGAGTCGAGGGGCTTGACAGCGGGGGACAATCTGTCCCCATACAGTGACCACTGAAGAGTAGTCAGGGCTGCAGTGAGGATGCCCAGGAGACTGTGGGACTCCCAAAGAAGCACGTGGCCCTGCCTAGGGACCAGGGAGAACTTTGAAGGGACATCTATAATGAGACCTGAGGCAGGAACTCAGCCGAAAGTTTGCTCTGCCTGGTTCACAGCTGTCCCCAGTCCTTAGCATCGTTCTCTCGTCATCTGATTCAACCAGAGAACATTCCTTCAGAATCTAGCTCCCACTAGACTGGGTGGTGGCCAGGCCTGGACCCGTGCCTGCTTCCCAGGGCAACTGCCCATGGAGTGCCCTTCCATCTGGAGTGATGGCCCAGGCTGGTCAAGGGAGACACCATCAGAGGGGTCCACACAGGGGTGGGGGAGCATCTGACTTGGCCAGGGTAATCAGAGAGGGCTTCTTGGAGAACAAAGATCCCGGAGGCTTGAGAGGATGTTTTGAATTCACTTTCATGGTGTGAGATGTGCTCTGGTCAGGGGACAGTTCTGCTCCCATGGACCTCTGATGACCCCTGAGTGCTCAGAGGGGGATCTAGTAGTGACTAGAAGTTACGAACAGGCCCCACCCCACCCCTACACACACACACACACACACTGCTGTCAGTTTTTATAGGGCAGAGTAGAACTGCTCTCTTTGGGTTGTCAAGACTATACACCTTAAGCAGCCTCCTTTTTCTCCCACTGAACAGCTGGTGGATTTGAACGCCCAACCTTGCAGTCAGCAAGCAGTTAACCCTGCCGGCCCAGGGTTTCTTGCAAATAGCCTGATCAGGGTAAAATTCCCTGGACACAAAGGAATGAATGCCTCCTTGGCCCCCATCCCAGGGCTTTCCTAGGCTGGGCAACCGGCTGTGGGGCGCTCCCTTCTCAGAAGCACCCATAACTTGCTTGTCCTGCCTAGGGGCCCAGCACCCCCGCTCCCTCTGCCCTCTCGAAATCTGGGCCAAAAACCACAGCAACTATTGTTTTTCCTCCAAGTTTAATTCTGTCTCACAGGAGCACCAATAAATAGTTCCTTTCCACCCCTGCAATCTTCCTTATGCCCGGGGCAGGGCCCTCGGGACGAGGAGCGGGGCCCGGGAGGCCTGTGCCTTGATGCGAGTCGGCCAGCAGTGGTCCAGACCAGGCACACCGCCGAACGCAACTGGGCAGGCTATCGGAGCGGGGCGGTTCCGAAGGGGCGGGCGCGCGCTCCCCGGCAGTGGGCGGAGCGCCGCGTTGCGCGAGCGCACTGGGCGGGGCCTCGGCGGGGACGCCCTCCCGGTGGGCGGGGCCTGTCAGGGGGCGTGGTTCTCGTCGGCTGCGGTCACGATGACGTCCATCCAAATGCGCATGGCCTCCGGGTTGGGGGCCACCATGTAGAAAAGGCGCTCGTAGGTTTTGACGCAGAAGGTCAGGCGCGGGCTGGGGCTCTGAAAGGAGGAGCAGCAGGAGATGAGGGAGGGGAAGGGGACAGGGACGGGCTGCCCACGAGGTGCCAAGTTCCAGCCTGCTCGGTCCACTCGCTAACCACGAAGCCCCTGTAGGAGCGAAGCAGGAACCCTGGTGGTGGGCTGCGCATCTCCCGGGCGTGGTAAACCTCCACACATAGCATGCCTGGTCTTTCTCCATGCGGGGCCTCCGCTTAGCCCAGCACCCCCCGGGGGCCCCTTTGTGGCAAGGTGGGCTTCATTCCCTCCTGTCGTTCTAAATGGCACCCCCAGGCCGTGTTGGGTCACCCTACACGAGAGGGAAGCTCGGGCTTAATAGTGCTTGCTTGTTCATCTGCAGGGATCCTTAGGCAGCAACAACGCTACGTCTAGGGCTGGCTGGCTTCGGTCTCTCTCAACCCTACCACACAGTGCTACAGAATTTTCCAGTTTCTTTAACAAACTCACAACCAACCCATGACAGGCACGGTGGAACCAGTCCCCCAGGGCAGCACGAGCTCACAGATGCTTGCTGACTAATCTGTGGGGAGTGAGCAGAGGCCCAGGTTTCTCCACACCTCTGATGTGGTGAGACCCATGTGGATTTGCTCACTGTGCATTAAGTAGTAAGCAAGACGGGGCAGCCTCATCTTCCTCCCGAGGAGCTGCCGGTGGGCTTGAACCACCGGGCTCATGGCTAGCAGCCCAACTCTTCTCCCACGGCGCCACCAGGGTGCCTGACCTCGTGTCCAGAGTTCCTTTATTGGGATAACTATTGACTACCCCAAAAGCAAGTCGTTAACTCAAGGAAAGAGCTCTAGATGCTAGATCAGGAGCCACGGTGGCGTAGTGCTTATGCCTTTGGCCTGCTAACCCTACAGTCAGAAGTTCAAAAGCACCTGCTGCACCTTGGGAGAAAGGTGAGGTTTTTCACTCCTGTAAAAGGTTAGTCTTGCAAACCCACAGGGGGCGGTTCTTATACAGTAGAGGGTTGCTAGGAGCCCGAATGGGTTCGATGGCAGTGAGTTTGCATTTGGGGACTTACTACCCCACCCGACTCAGCAGCGAGAGCGTCGTACTGTGCTGGTTTGTGTGTTCCCCTCTGCGTCTGAACATTAGCCATGAAAACCATAAGGGCCCTAACTGGACCGTGTCCAGTACGGTGCTGGGTCGCAGCGGGCTCAGCCATGGGCTCGGGCAGGCCAGCGATGGTGAAGGAAGACCGGGCAGGACCAGGCACTATCTCCCCCTGTGGTGCGTGAGGCCGCCCCGAGCCAGTGGCAGCTAATGAGTTGGGTATCCGTTCTCTATGCGAGCCTTATTGCTCTGAGGGTGGGCTGGGTTGTGTCCACTCTACAGAGGAGGGAAACTAAGGCTCAGCGAAGGGAAGCCCCTTCCCCGAGGTCACATTCCAAAAGCTTCCTCCGGTCTCCGCTCTGGGAGCTTTCTAAAAATGGAATGATTTATCAGATCCTTCCCAGCCAGCACTGCGTGTCTGTGAAAGTTCGGAGTCCCGAGTTCTCAGGGGGAAGACATTCAACAGGCTCAGGCCCCGAGGAGGCCAGCTCCTCAGGCTGACCCCAGGGCTGCCTCCACACTGTGCGTTCCCAGCGGGCCAAATCCGGGCTCTGCAGCTTTTACTCCAAGGAAAGTGGCAGCGGCTGGGAACGAGGGACAGCGGGCCCTGCGTCTCCAGTCCCGGGGGTGAGGCGACCTGCTGTCTCCTGGGCTCGAAGGCCGGGCTCTGACCTCTAGGGGGTTGTGGGGGGTGAGCACACAGGGGCACGCTGAGGGGAGGAGGGCTTCACCTTGAAGGCACAGCGTAAGTGGTCGTAGTAGACTTCCTCGATGGCCTGGAAGTAGATGACGCCTTTGAGCTTGGTCTCTTCCTTGTCTGGGGAGAGGACAAGGGAGAAATAGAGACAGTTAAGAGTCTGGGTGGGTGGGGGGTGGGGGTGGAGTCACTGGACCCATGTTGAGGCTGGGGTTGGGGTCGGGAACATGGTGAGCATCTGGAGAACCCTCAAGTACTAGGGTTGGCTGGGTCAGGAGCACGGTAAGACTTTGAAGTGCAGTGGTTGGGAAGAGTCTGAACGCTGACGATGCGCCATGGGAGACTGACTGTGTGTGGGCGCTGGAGTCAGTACTTCAGCCCTAGGAAGGGCAGGGACTCAGAGAGGGGATCGGAGCCCGGGATCTCTCTAGAGGAAAGACTAGGGGGTTGATTCCTTAGGGTCTTGGAGTGGGAGGAAAGGCTCTTGGCCAGTGGTTCTCAACCTCCTAATGCCTCGACCCTTTAATACAGTTCCTCATGTTGTGGTGACCCCCCATCCATAACATTATTTTTTGTTGCTACTTCATTGCTGTCATTTTGCTACTGCGATGAACTGGGTGACCCTTGTGAAAGGGTCGTTCAACCGACCCAAAGGGGTCACGACCCACAGGTTGAGAACCGCCGCTCTAGGCTCACACTCCTGGAACGTGGAGAGCCGAACGGCACACAACGGATCTCACCGTTACATAATAGGGCTGGGCATCTGGTCGCTTAAGGAGGCAGGGGCTAAGGATCCCGGGAGATGAGAGGCCTGACAGACCAGTCCCCTGGGTGATGGGAAGGAGGAGCTAGGGGCCAGAATTCCTGGATCTTGGGGAAGCAGGGAGAACTCCTTTGACTCAGGAGTACTGAGGGGGAAAGGGCCTGGGGACCCAGGCTCAGAGGCCTAGGAGAGCCCGAGGCCGGGGGTCAGAGTTGCTGGCTGGCTGAGGCCAAAGGCCTCCGGCTACACTCTTGCAGGCCCAGGTGGCCCGAGGCGCAGGCAGCCCTGCTGGACTTGCCTGCATAGTAGGCCAGGCGCCGGGCCTGGCGGTCAAAGCAGAACCAGCGCTTCCTCCACGTCTTGATGCGACCCCCCATCTTCACCAGGGGCCCGCGGCAGCAGCCCCCCGACACCCGCACCTGCGGGCAGCTGTCTGGGTTGTGGCCCCATCGTTCCAGGTGCTGCTGGAGATCCAAGACTCGGGGGCCTGGGGGGCGGGGTGGGGGTGTGGGCGGG